ATTTTTTTAAAAATCAAACTTATTTGGATGAAAAATTGCTATCTAAATATACCCGAACGTTCCATTTTAATGTGTTTTTTTTTTATACATAACCTCTAACGAGCTGATTATTGATAATGACTGCAATGGTTGAATGTAGTTGAACAAAACAATAGCAAAATACGAACTTTGGACAGTTTATCCAAAATTTCGAGCACAATACTCAACACATTATTCGAAAATTGGAAAAATGTAATAAAAAATTTAATAGACATAACTTGTCGGTTCTTTTAAATGAAATGTGTTTCAATGAATACTTGCTGTCTCAATACACTTTTCATACACATACACACACACACACACACACACACACACACACACACACACATATATATATATATATATATATATATATATATATATATAAGCAAATATATGGATATAGATCCGACAGTATGAAGAAAAATATACGGAAAGAACAAACAAAAATCCTAATATGCAATTATGCTGTTTAATGTTAATATATCAACGTCGGATGTTTCGGTTTAATAGACCATCTTCAGGACATATTCATAAAACATTGTCATCATGCATTCACTCTTCAGGGCTATTGGCATCTCTGCTGCTACTTCTCAACCTTCGAATTATATAAATATATACATATTTGCATGTCAGTGTGTCACTCTGGCACATTTTCAACTTTACTCCTAGAAGCCCTTGTCCAACATATCATACCATCCATTTGGGATTTAGGCCGACTCCGTGTGAAAATTAAAAACATTTCTAGTCAGATCCGGACCCGAAATCCTGAAATTTTGGATACCCCACTTTTCAATACTGCGTTTGTTTTCGGCGATTTTTACGTGTTTTTTGCGACGAATTTTTTTGTACGATAACAGTTTTTATAACTTGGAAATAAATTCGGGAATAATCGAAATTAATTGCGAAATCCAGCGAAAGTCACCTATGAAATAAAAAATATAACTGTCTGTACGGAAAGTAAGGACCTACATACATAAACTTGTCTTTAAATTAATAGGCGACAGAAGAACTATCGTTTAGCATTTAATTAAAGCAATACTTAAATGTAGTGATCAATTTTGAGTTCTTCTGTAGTATAGTGTTGCCTATAGCATCTACTTCTCCCTACTTATTATCATAGGGCGGCATTTAAGCTAGTACACACACACACACATATATATATATATATATATATATATTAAGAAATGGACAAAGTCCGACAATTTATTTATTAAAGACATTTTTTTATGTTTAACGTTCTTTTTATAGATACAAGTATTTATTAAGTAAATGCTCTGTTTATAATAAACACTATTAAATAGCATTTACCGGCCTGAAAAATTTCATAGAAAATATTCGTTCTTTGACAGGATTCGAACCTGCATCCTATACGGAACCGTCATTTACGCTGACGAATTTACTGCTGATAAATTTCAATCTTCCATTAATCTCGTACATTCATAACTGCTCTGGCGTATCAAATGTAAACAAATGACGTCATATATTAAGAAATGGACAAAGTCCGACAATTTATTTATTAAAGACATTTTTATGTTTAACGTTCTTTTTTATAGATACAAGTATTTAAGTAAATTTGTTTATAATAAACAGTATTAAATGCATTTACCGGCCTGTTTTGCATAAATTCGTCCTTTGACAGATTCGAACCTATATGGAACCGTCATTTACGCTGACGTGCCTTACCGTATAAGATGACAGGTATATATATATATATATATATATATAATATTTTTAGTTTAAAAATATGATTCCTTCGCTTGTAGTAATCGACAATATCGAACTGAATTAGGGTGCAGTCAGGCTTATTGTCGATGTTGGTAAATCAGTTTATGACTTCTTTGGTGTTAATCCAGAGTGTTAATCCAAGTTGTTTTTTAATTTGGCTATTGATCCTTTCCAGGATTTTTTTGCTTATCTTTCCTATGTAGGGTCTAGTAGTGGGGTCTTCCTCAAATCCGTGTTTGTGGTCCTTAAGAGTGATGTAGCACTCCTTTTCGGCCAGTTTTAAACAAAAAATATTATTATAATATAAGCTCTACTTCTGTATGGAGCACTGTCTTCTTAAAAAAAAAAACAAAAATACTAAGGAACTCCGGATTACGCACCAACGTGTTCTTTTCTATTTTCTGCATATATACGCATATATATATATATATATATATATATATATATATATATATATATATATATATATATATATATATTAATTTGGACAGCAAACAATTCTTTTTTAAACATCATTCGTTAAATATGACAGACAAGGAAATTTAATTATTTTTTTTTTATTTATTTTCATTCTCACTCTCTTTTATCTTTTATACATATATATATATATATATATATATATATATATATATATATATATATAGAGAGAGAGAGAGAGAGAAAATTCGTTTGAGTTTTTTAATTTATTTTAAAATGAAATTGTTTTTAGAGGATGAAAACTCTTACAGAATCATATTTTAAATATATTTAATTTATTTTATAATTTATATATATGAAATTATATAATCCGTTTCTTATTGATAATTTTTATTTTTACAAAAAGTGCTGTTTTTGAAATAATTAAACTAAAACTTCAAATTAAATTATTAATTAAATCAAAAGTTAGTTCTCAATGGAATCCATATTTTTAAATAATATATATAATATATATATATATATATATATATATATATATATATATATATATATATATATATATATAATCCGGTGTTCTTATTGATAATTTTTATTTTTACAAAAAGTGCTCAATGTAAATTTACAGAATATAATTAAACTAAACACTTCAAATTAAATTATATAATTAAATCAAAAGCATTAGTTCTCAATTTGAAACAAGGTAATTCCTGTGTAGCGATGAAACCATATTTTTGCATCAGTCAATTAATAATACTAATACTAATACTAATAATATATATATATATATATATATATATATATATATATATATATATATATATATATATATATGTGTGTATATTTAATTTTCTTTTATTTTTCTTTTCTGTACAGAAAGTGTGTAAAAAAAATGTTCAAATGTTCTATATATCCGAGCGCTCTCGGCTATTGTACAAAATGGAGTATAAATTAATATAATACCAAAGCGGTTGGATATATGTATATATATCCGGCCGCTATATATATATATATATATATATATACAGGAAAAATTTTATATTTGCAGCATTCTAAAAACTAATGCATTTATATTAAAACTAATGGATATTAGCACAATATTTAGTCATAAATGTATAAACATTTATTAAATTATTAAAATATGTGAACCAATTATAAGGAAATCTTTATTATTTACCATTTTCTAAAGTTCGAATCAATTGGCAATTAGCCGAAATTTTGCCAACCATTCCAATAAATGATATAATAAATAAATAAATAGTTTATTTGTTTTGTTTTCAATTCTCAAGATGTATAAATTCGCTTTCATATGTTTAGGTTTTATTACTATTTTAATCTTCACTTTTTAAAATTATAAACCTTGCCGAGGAGTGAAGGTAGTTAAAATAATAGCGGTCTCAACGGAAAAACCTTCCATTTCCGAAACGAAGGTCCAAATTTGACAGAATTTCATACTGGTGTTTTATCGCTTCTAATACGAGTATTATATGGTAGTATTTGCTGTACAGTCATCCAACTGATGAAGAGAAAACTAGAAGCAACAGAAATGTGGTTCTACAGGAGGATACTGAGAATTTTATAGAAAAAGCGAGTAAGCAACGAGCTAGTCTTAAAGAAAATGACAAAAAAGCACATACTTAGAACCAGACAGCTGAAATTCCTTGGATGCATATGGAGGAAAGAGATATAGGAAAATTAATCCTCACATGTTATATTTAGAGCAAGATAGGGGAAGGCGAGATTGTTTGAATAGATAGCGGAACGGATGGCCGAAACCTTATCAAAAGGAAAAAAAACCTGCTATGGAACACAAGGGATAGGAAGTTGTGGAGAGCCGTGATCGCCCATTTCCTGAAAGGACGCACCACATAGAAAAAGAACAATATCTAATATTTTATATAGCCGTGAATGTTAAACAATTTCCTCAAAGATGAATTACTATGATGTGGCTGGTCACTCGTATCCGGGTGTGACTGTTTGATATTTTGGCTAACCAATCCCTGTTGCAGACACCTGCTCTAACACATTTGTGTCATTCAGAACGTAATGCGCCTTTCTGTGATATGGAATCAAAAGCCTGTTTAAATTTAACAAATATCGTTTAAGAAAAAAAAAAAAAAAAAAAAACAACGAAGTTGAGGAAAAGAATTAGTTTTTTTTTTTTTTTTTGTACTAAAGATTCCTGAAATACAAGACTCGAGAACTACTCAAGTTAGAACGTTACTGCTAAAATAGTTATTTCGTAAGCTGAGTAGAGGATCTGTCTAGATTGATTTGAAGTGATATCTCTCAATTTCTCACGCTAGGCAGGTCAGTCTTGTTCACTCTTAATTCCACAATGCGAATAATATTAGGTTGGTGCAAAAATAATGACGTAATAATGTCGTTTTTTGACGTTAAAAAATACGTCAAAAACGACATTATTACGTCATTGTTTTTGCACCAACCTAATAATAATAATAATAATAATAGCTTTATCTATTTAGAATGTACATGATCGCAGTTTTTTTTGTTTTTTTTTTTTTTTACAAAAATGAACAGAGTAAAATGTCATGAAGCCATTTCTGACCTCAGGTTTCTGGTTGGGACACGGAAGGAAATCTGTATACAACAGAAATCAAAGGAAATAATAATAATAATAATAATAATAATAATAATAATAATAATAATAATAATAATAACATCACACACACACATTTTTCTATTGAGGAAATCCTAATGTACTGGCCCGTCAAAAGTATTAATTTCATTGGTCGATCCAAAAAGAAAGGCAAAGGCTTCTTTTTTTTCTAAACTGAACGTTTTTGACGTATGCGAAGACCTGAGAAGAGGAAGTTTAAATGCACTTGTCAGACGTAAGATGTCTCTTCACTAAACAGATCTATTGATCAGTGTGTCTGTCCATTAGTCTTCCTGGTTGACTGTCATCATTTGAGATCAGTTACCGTGTTGTCTGTGTGGGTTCTC